TATAAGTTATATACATACAATGTAATAACAATATTATAAGAGGAATAGTAGCATTATAGGTGGGCTATATAGAATCATAGAATAGTTAGGGTTGGAAAGGACCTTAAGATCATCTGGTTCCCTCCCACTAAACCATGTCATCCAAGGCTCTGTCCAATCTGGCCTTGAACACCACCAGGGATGGAGCATTCACAACCTCCCTGGGAAACCCATTCCAGTGCCTCACCACCCTAACAGGGAAGAATTTCTTCCTTCTATCCAATCTAAACTTCCCCTGTTGAAGTTTTAACACGAAAAAGGTTCAAACTGAATCTCAAGTAAAGGAAAACTGTGGGAAATTACCTAATTCTTCAAGCAGAAAACCTTGTCCTGTGAGGGATATTGGTAGAGAAAAGGTAATGCAAAAGGAAGAAGTAGATTATCAAAGGAAGTCACTTCTTGGAAATTGTGGTGGAACAAAACCCAAAAGTATTAAGCTGAGCTAGAATTTACTTAAAGTTCTTAAGAATTAAAGCACTTCTAAATTTCTTCAGACATATAAATAAATTGAGAAAGAAGAAATCCTTCTATTGTATAGGGAGAGTGGTGCTTTGAATTAGTGTCTGTTTTTCAAATGCTGAATAAATACTTTTACACACTTCTCACTGAGAAGAGTAACAGTGTGAAGAGAGAAACAGAATGGTGAACGGAAACAAGAATCTGAACGTGGCTATGGTTGAGGTGGAAATTCAAGCCACAAACTCCCAAGTAAATAAAGATGTGAAATCGCGGTGTACCAGCTGCATTGCAGTTACTGCCTATGTACCAGTTCTTTCCATGCTGTCAGTTACTTCCTCACCCTATCTAATAGACATTGAGTACATGTGGCATACATGGCTCTTCATTGCCTAAGAGCTGAAGTGCAAATCTTTGAGAAATAAATTGTTTTATAGCTCTATTTTAAAGTTTATTTGTATTATGTTGAACTTAAAAAAAATACTACAGATTACTTTTTTTTTTTTTTCCAGCAAAGTATTAAAACACATTCTCATCTCAAAAATTGCCATTTCCACTGTGTGTGCCCTGGAGCTCCTTGAACCGTTCAGTGAACAGAATTAGCTCACTGGAAAAACAAAAATCTATCCCTGTTTCCTCTTCCTCTTATCCCCCTTCTACCCCCTCTCTTCCCCCTTGCTTTTAAACCAAGTTTGTTTCCTGTCAGATTAGCAAATTAAATTGGCTTATGGGGAGGACCAAGAAGTGCCAGATTTTGTGCAAGATAAGCCTCTAGGAGCAGGAAAAAGCCCTTGAGGTCACCAGGGGTCAATGGAGAGTTGTCTTGTGAGTGCTTGGTCTTCGAATTCTGTTAGTGCAGAAGAGCTACGCATTGCTCTTGGAGGGGCTGGTCACTGTAGTGGACTTTTTTTAGCAGTCTGCCTGCAAAAGTATATAATCTTAGCAAACCTCCTAAAACAAACTTTTGGTGGGCAGCAAAAGTACTTGCAGCAGGCCTTGTATCATACAACTGATATTATTTGTAGCTCTTCCCCTACCATTTGCACTGTACAAAAGATAAATTCTGTTTTGACGTAATGCAGGTTAAGAGCAGTAGTATAGACCCCGTGTAAATTGTTCTACCTCTGTATCTTCTTACTCTGTACTTTACTTACAGGTTGCTGGCTCTTGACAGGACTGTATTAAGACTGTTTTGGAGAGAATTTCTTACACTCTTCAGTGCAGTTGGCCTGCAAGGATATGCCTTTGTTCATGTCTGGATTTAATTGTAGATCATTTTTGAGGGAAAACTGTTTTCTTACTTTGGGAAACCCGGCATAGTGTTGGCATCTGGTCATTGTACTGAGCAATCAGCCAATCACTGGATATAAAAAGGGGCAGAAATGAGAGATACAGAAAATAAATTACCTAAGCAGAATGCCAATGAGTTACTTTTCTCCCCCCTCTGAAGAATTTAAAGTCTGTGACAGCAGTTGGTCACAGCCCTGACTGGAAATGGCAAAGTTGTTATGAGAAGGTACTTACAGGGACCCTGTTACCCCTTTCCCTCCCCACTTGTCAATAAAAATAATCCACACTTACTGGAGGCAATTGGGGCTCAGTAATAAGCCTTAATTCCAAAGTTCCTTTCTTTCCTGGAGCCTGGTGAGAACTGTAAGCACTCCCTGACACTGCCCAGGAAATAGTGCTTTTACAAGGACCATCTTGCTAATACAGTTTGTTTTGTTACAGTTATGTTTTGATATTTGTTTCATAGTAGGAAATGCTTTCCAAGAACTTGTCATCTTGGATTTTTTCACTTGTATTTTTTGTTGTTGCTAATATTCTTACGAAATTGCCAGCTTTTTGGACCAGGCCTTTGCTCGTGACTGAGATGCGTGAGACTGTAGGCTAAAATAGCAAGAACTAATAGGATACCTATTAAAAAAAAAAATGGTTAGAAATGCTTCTGTCAAGTTAAAAGGGAAAAAGAAAAAAGCTCTGAAATCACTGTATTGACTGCTGGTAAAAATAACAGCAAAGTCTCTGACAGCTGAAAGAGAGAGAAAGGAAGAAAAGCATGTTGCTTTTAAGTTTTTCCCTGTGTTCATTGGCGGTGTGCCCATACACCCCATTCAGGGCTCTAGAAATGGTTCACTGACTTGAAACTCTGGCTGCTTTTAATTGTATGAGTTTTATTTGTTTAAGTAATGTGAGGAAAGCACATTAAATTATCAACTTCAGAGACATTTTTTGTCCAACTCCTTAGACAAGTTGAGGGATTCAGGTTTTAGATATGTTTTGCTGGTTTCCAAATGGCATTTTTTCACAATGGCTTTAAATTGTTATTGCACCCTCAGAGAATCTCACCGTGAGTTGGCTGACAGCACAGTGGTATACATTTACACAGTAAGTCAGATGGCAAAAAATCCATCTGTAACATTAAAAAGCTGTTGAGGTGTACTCAAGGAGAGTACCGTGCAAAGTCATTTGGAATTTTTTTTCAACATTTTCTGTTAAAGGATTAAAAAAAAAACCTAAATATGCAAAAAATGTGCACTTGCATGACAATTTATGAAAGCATAATTGTTCCATTATTTTGGCTTTTTAATATTTTTTAAATTCCTCTTGTAAATACAGTGCTTAGGTTGGAAATAAGTTCTGGGGCTAAAAGTGAAATGAGAAAAATAAAAACATTTTTAAAAACTAATAATGCCCTGGTTTAGGTTGTGTTTAAATAAGTACTTATTTCTTTTGAAGTAAAGTAGAAGATGTTACGTGCATATCAGATGTCAACCTTCTGGCATTTGTTTTATAGCAGTGAAACTTGGAAACAAAAGCACGTAAGTCTTGCTCAGATTTAACTATATCTTCATGAAGTTATAGTTAAAAAGACAAAAGCATCCATGGCGTGTTCAGTATTGCTGAGAAATAAGGACTTATGTTTATCGACTTGAGGTTCACCTTATGATCACCACCCATCAGTGTTGTCATGATTGTCTAGCTTTTTAACATTTAACTCTTATGTTTTAGTCTGGGACAAAACACATGTTCTTTGGTTCTTTCCTTTTAACAAGATTTTCCCTGGTGGCTGCTTAAGTGTGTATGGAGCTAGAGATGGATTCATGTCACAGTCAGAATCAGTTGTTTCAGTTTATAAGTGGTGGTGTCTTTTTTAGGGATATTCTGAACTTGGATGTTTCTTTGTTGTGACAAAGATCCTCTTATTGCTATATAGACGTGGAGGGCATACTTGAAATAATATTGCCTTCCTGGATAGGTTTCATTGGTTTATGTAGAATTGCTGTCTCCAGTTGTATCAGTGAGAAAAGTTGCATATTTCCTTTCCATATGTTACATTTTCATTTAAAGAAACAGCCAAGCTTATGATTGAGGGGGCAGATCTTGTATTTTTCTACTTTAATGTGTGTTGCTCCTCGCACTGTATTGTCGCCCCCCCTTTTCCTCTTTCCATTTTAAATAGTACTCAACCTCTTATCTAGAAAGTCAGCTATTTGTGTCATGCTTCACACTGTTACAACATTTTGTGATAGAGCCACACGTACTAGAGCTGTACAACTGGGTAAGCAAAACTAGCCTTCATCCTAACCAGTGGAGCTGTGTTCTTGCTTACCCTTGGCTGCTGGAAAAATCACAAACAACTGAGTCCCTCAGCTAGACTGGCATTGGTAGTATCTTGTTGGAATTAGGAATGGTTGCTGGTGGGTAGGCTTTGAGGACTCAACTAGTCTGGTACTTGGGTTTTTTGGAGGCAAAGTTGCTTATGCTTTCACATGGTTTCATTAAAATAAATATTTGTAATAATTTTATATTTTTTAACTTAGTCTATTAGTTCTGTGGGCAGTGAACTCCACAGTGGCATCTCTCTTTAGAAAGACAAGGAGAAGTTAAATGATACAAGTCCCCTAACTGCTGCAGAACCAGGAACTGGAATTCTGTTTTCCAGTCTTGCCAAGTGTGATGCAGCTCCAGATAAAGCTAGCTGAATCACAGAAAAATCAAGGTTGGAAGGGACTTCTTGAGATTATCTGATCCAACCTTTTGCTGAAAGCAGGGCCTTGGATTAGGTAATTATCTGCCTTTAAGGTGAGTCTTAGCGATTTCCAGAAAAGGGAACTGTACTTTGATGATGATTTTGATCATAAACAGATTAGCCCTGAAGTGAATATTTGTTCTCTTTCTGTTTTGTTGAAAATCCTTTACAGTTCCTGCTGCCAGTTAGACAGGGGTTTAAGAGTACAGCATTTTCTCTGCTTCTTACACTTGAAAATGTTGTTTCAGTTTTGCTGGTACTGAAATTAGGATTTTGTTACTTGTTTAGTGTTGAATAGTGCGTTCAGTGCATCCAGGATTATAATTTGCAGTTTCGTCTGCTACGGCTCACACAGAGAAAACTGTTATTCAACCTGTGTATATTCTATAATAGGATAATTTGTCCTGTTCATTATAAATGTAAATATTGTTTTTAAGGCATTGGTAACCAAGAGTATTTTTCCTATTTACAGAGCAAGCTTTACATGGAAGGATTTAGAAGCCTAAAAGAAGGAGAACCAGTGGAATTTACTTTTAAGAAATCTTCCAAAGGCCTTGAATCAATACGGGTAACAGGCCCTGGTGGGAGCCCCTGTTTAGGAAGTGAAAGACGACCCAAAGGGAAGACAGTACAAAAAAGAAAACCAAAGGGAGATAGGTAATTGCCTTACTTTGCTTTCTCCCTCCCCCCTTTTATTTCTTTGCAATTTTTTTCTTGAAACTATGTTTTTAGCATTTATTTATTTGTGAAAGGAAAGCCTTCTATGTAAATCTGGCTTTTACATCTAGCCTGGTCATTTGATTAAACTTATTAAGCTGTATCATAAATCACCCACTTGATTGGTTTCACTTGAGGAGGTTTTTAATGAATTAGAGGGAGGCTGCAAAGGAGTGTAATACTATTTTGAAAATATTACTGTTAGACTGAGAAGAGAGGTCAGTCTGAATACAGGTTAAATAACATCATGCTTAGCTGAGAATTGTGCATGCTAAGGAGGCTATTGTGTGCAGTGGGGTTTTAAACTGCGCATCAGTAATTTTATACAGGAAAAAGTGTAGGTGGTGCAGTCAGGGTTGAGATATGCATAATTTGATTAATTACATTTTTACCTAGAGAACAGAGTATCAGGTATTTCCAAAGGTTTTAGTGCTTAGTGGCCTATAGAACTGTTGTAATAATGTTTTACAAATCTCAGGTTAGTCTTGAGAGGTGCACTTCTTTATATACAAGTGCGGCAGTCCGACTTGCTCTGTTTTACTTCACTTCTGTCTCTGAGGGCTTGAAGAAGTCCTGTAATCCTCTTTACTACAAAGCCACCTGCACCTAGTTTCCCAAGGGCAGCCTTTCTGCCCAAAACTTATGTATTTAGGTGAATCTTCTTTTTCAGCTCCTCATATTTATTGCTCAGGCCAGTAGCTGTAATGACTGAGTTCAAGGGAATCTTGTGAAGGATCCTAGCAAGAACATCCAGTCAAGTTTTGCCTACAGTATTTCATGTATGGAACGACTGAAAAGTGGCTCTCCCCTATTGCAAGCTCTGAAGTAGGGTAGCTTGGGAAAGAGAGGGAGTCTCCTGGAAAAGCAGTGTAGCCCAGCTTCGCGAAACGGAGGATCATAAACCTTTGCTGACTACAGATGAGCTCCACTTGTCCCTACCTCTGTTAAAAGGCTGCTTCCCCTTCTCCCCTCCTTTTTGCTCTTTTTCCTCTTTTTAAATTAAGGACTGGAGACAACATGATAGTTGTCCCTCTTTCACCTTCTTTGTAAAAGCTAAAGGCCATGAACAAAATCTATTGCTGCTATAACAGATCAGAGTCCATAACCACAACGAGAGACTTTGTAAGCCAGACAAAGCTTTCTTTTTGATTGCTCACTATATCTGGCCTTTCAGAGTTGCGTTGCATGTGATGGTTGTGAAATTTTATTTTTTTTGTGAGCTAGGCTTCCAGTATAGCTCTTATTTAAACCGTTTTGTTTTCCATGCACTGTAATTAATAATCTGTTTAGGGTATTAGCATTACCATTGTTATTGATGTTTTATACTATGGCAGCAAAAAAAAGGCCACAGTCATACAGCTATGATGGTATTGTCCTGTTTATAGTACATGTATATGAAGAAAGACAGTCCTTGCCTCAAAACTCTTCCAATTTAAATGGACAGGTTTTAAGTAGACAAGAAAAAGTACATATTGAAGGAGACAGGTTTGAACAAATGTAGGTATTTAGAGTGCACAGCGTGTAGTCAGTGCAGAGGAAGCAGTATTATCAGAGTGCAATTCATCTCACGCTAGGGAAGCATCTAAAATATTGGGGATGAATCTTGCCTTGTGGCTGTTTCTTTTCAGGGACTACAAAGACGGCCTAGCTCCAATGCTGTAGATACTTCCCTTACAACTCTCTAAAGTTAGATGAGATGAATCCTAATTTCAGTGATGTTTTTTCATAGCTAAAGCATAGAAAAAATTGAACAGATATACTCTGAAAAACAGTGCAGAGGGGTGATCTATGAGATGCTGTATTCTTGGCTTTAAAAGAAGAAAAGTTAAAAATTAATTTGACTTGAATATGAAAATGTGGGCAAAACCATCTACCCACTTCTGTCTCAAAATTCTTATGCTTAGGTTATAAACCACACAAAAGTCTGAAATGTGAAATGTTTGAAGTAGCTCTGACATGATATTACTCATTGAGGAACAGTGTCATTGCTTAAAGGAAAATGAGTTTGGATTGAATGCCTAGCCAATAAAAAACTGCATCTCCAGCATATGTAGTGGAAAATTTTTTGAAGATGCTGTTACACTGTGAGAACTGCCCCCATTTATGAAAGCTAATTCCAGCTTCTTGTGTTCATCTCTTTTCTATGTTACCAGTGCAATAGTGCAAGGGCCCAAACTCAGTATATCTTTCTATACAGATACCATGACTTCAATAATGGTGTATTAGGACAGATGAGAAGATTGAGAGAAAGACTTACAGATGGCAAATGTGGGGAAAAGAGAAGGAAAAGCAGCAATATGTGCTGAGGGGGAGGAAAAAAGTCATGACACTGAGGTTACCAGTATTGTTGCTTGTTCATAGATTTTGTGGGGCTTCCACAATGGACTCCAGAGTTGCTGTAATTTTCAGTGTTGTTGCTGTGGGCATCTTGCTGTGATATTCCCCTTCAGCGTTACTGTGGGCTCCATTAATTTGATAACATAGGTGGGAAAACTTTGTGATTGCTGTTGGTGATACTGGCCAGTTTGGCATCTTTCTCAGCCAGTGTGCTAGCACATGCCAGTCTGTAGAAGTAGAAGGTGCTTGCAGTCCATGTGAAATGAAGCTGTGGCTATAAGTAGCCTGCAGGCTTTACGTTCCTGTATCTTAGTTTAAGCTATTGTAATATCCATGTATCTTAAACGTATTTTTTCACAGTGTCTAGAGCGATGTGGGTTAGAGGTGAGGATACTAACCAAGACTCAGCTGGGATTTGCATCTGACAAGTGCTGAGTTCAGAAATGGTGTTTCTTGGCAGAGATATACAGTGGAGAGGATGGTTCTACCTAAATAAGCAAGGGGATGAATTTCCAATGCGTTACACTGGGGCACGTTGCAGCTGCCTTCATAGCAGCTCTTAACACATGCCAAACTGTGCTTTGCACAAGTTCAGTGGTGAGCTGACACAAAAGCACACTGTGCTGCTTTCTAGGAATGCACACAGGGAGCTGATGGAGAAAAGATAAAGTACACCAAATTCACACTTTAATCAACTGCTCAGTAACTTGTAGACAGGCCTGTAAAATCCTGATTTAGAATCAGAACCTACCCTACCATCTCAGAGTAAATTTTGGAGGCAGAAAAGGGGAGGAAGGAAAACATTCTCCTTTTTGAGGTTTTTTGCTTGTTTGTTTGCTTGATTGTTAAAAACACTCTCCAGTGTTTGTATGTGATCTAAAATGAAACTGTGTCAAAGGACCATTCATGAAGTTTAACCATGCTGAGTGCAAGGTCCTACACCTGGGTCGGAGCAATCCCAGGCACAGCTACAGGCTGGGCAGAGAAGAGGTTCAGAGCAGCCCTGCGGAGAAGGACTTGGGGGTGCTGGTTGATGAGAAAATGAACATGAGCCAGCTTAGTGTGCGCTTGCAGCCCAGAAAGCCAACCGTATCCTGGGCTGCATCAAAAGGAGTGTGACCAGCAGGTCGAAGGAGGTGATCCTGCCCCTTTATTCTGCTCTCGTGAGACCTCACCTGGAGTATTGTGTGCAGTTCTGGTGTCCTCAGCATAAAAAGGACATGGATCTGTTGGAACAAGTCCAGAGGAGGACCACGAGAATGATCAGGGGACTGGAGCACCTCTCATATGAAGATAGGCTGAGAAAGTTGGGGCTGTTCAGCCTGGAGAAGAGAAGGCTGCATGGAGACCTCATAACAGCCTTCCAATATCTGAAGGGGCCCTATAAGGATGCTGGGGATGGACTCTTCATTAGGGACTGTAGTGATAGGAGAAGGGGTAATGGGTTAAAACTTAAACAGGGGAAGTTTAAATTGGATGTAAGGAGGAAATTCTTTCCTGTTAGGGTGGTGAGGCACTGGAATAGGTTGTCCAGGGAGGTTGTGAATGCTCCATCCCTGGCAGTGTTCAAGGCCAGGTTGGATGAGGCCTTGGGTAATATGGTTTAGAGCGAGGTGTCCCTGCCCATGGCAGGTGGGTTGGAACTTGATGATCTTAAGGTCCTTTCCAACCCTAACTATTCTATGATTCTAAGTGTAATTTTTTTATTTAATATTAATAAACTTATATAGCTGGGAAAAATATTCTTTAATGCAGTGTATATTTAAATAAATTTAAATAAAGATCTTTGGCACAATATTAACAAAGAAGATGCATGATACAGGACTAGAAGTTAGAGTTATCTTTGGGACCTAAGGATGTTATCCAATATCTTTAAATCTTCTGAGTAGGAGCTCAAAGTTGGATACTTTTTCAGCAGAGTGTCTGTAGTGTTGTATCAGTTTAGCATGGCACCCCCTTCATGTGGAACATTTCAGGTAGGATGGGGATAATGACAACATTCTTTTGTTTGTTTGTTTGTTTTGAAGTATTTACACCAAAATGGAAGCAATGAAGTAAGGCAAGAAGGAGGATACAAGGAAGAAATAATTAAGGGTCTAGCTCCATCTCCCAGTTCTAATTTATGACATTTCAGCCCTATGCTACCATCCACTAACATCACACTTGTGCCAGGGCAGCTTTCTAGAATGGGTGACCTGTATCAATAATTGGTGTGGATTTAATCATATAATAAAGTAGCAGTATGTTGTGAAAATTTGGGTTTGACATGAAAACATTTCACTGACTTGGTTTATGGCACAGGCCTGCAAATAAACTCTGAGAGATGGAGTTGGGAGCTGTTGGAAATGACAGTTTAACAAAGTGTTGTCACTGGATAGACAGTAATGCTGAATTATGTTCTGGGAATATGGCTAGTGAAATAGCTGTGTATTTCTAGCTCAGTTGGCTAAACACTCATGAGCATTGAATCATCAATGTGACACTTCAGAAAACCTTTTGCCAATGTAGACATCTGTAATGGAGTGATGAACAGAAAAGTGGCTTTGTAAGGTATACTACATGGTACAATAAATGGTGTTTGCCAGTAAGTCTTGGACATGACT